CACGGTCCCTGAGAAGCAGGGTGACAGCTTTGCTGCTCCCCGGTGTTCCTGGGGATTGGGGCTTTGTAACCCGGGTCTTAAGGTTACGTGATAAGCAGAATTTCTTTGTTTTCTTTCTTTTTCCTTTTGTGTTTACAGGGGAAAGTGTGAAAACTTAGGTGCTGAATTTTTAAATATAAATTAAATATAAGCTTGAGATATGCCATGCATTTTAACTCACAATTTTTAAATAGCTGCGTTGGGGGGGGTGTTGCAGTAAGTCAACTTGTGATTTTTTTTTTTTTTTTTTTTTTTTTGATCGCCTTGGGGTTGGCAATATTGCAGGTTTCTCAGGTCAAACAAGAAGTGATCTTGTTGGACAAGAAGAGCAGAAGGGGAAAACAGGAGCCTGTCTCAGAAGCACCAATGTTTTCTGAATTGCAAAACCCCATCCCATGTCATTCATCTCACCGGAACAGTTATCTGGACGACTTGCCGTTTTAATTGTGTGGCCTGGAGCCCTGTCTAGCTGGGGCTGGTCCCCACCAGCAAACCTCCACCTCCCATCAGCAGTGGTGACAGCAGCACAGACTAGCCATGGGTGAGCTGAGATCCTCCTGCTCCCCTCCCGAGGCGACAAGAGTGGCCTCTGCTCCCTGCACATTGCTCCTTCCCCCCCCGTTGCTCTTCTCTGTCTCCCTGGCATGCAGCAAAGCCGCAGGTCAGAGCTGGCCACACAGGCATCTTCCCAATGGTTCTTCCAACAGATGTGCTTCTCCAAATGTGCTCTGCTCTTCCCTTGCAGAGATGTACCTGCGACCTGTGACCAGCAGGTTGAGGGAGGTGATCCTGCCCCTCTACTCCACTCTGGTGAGACCCCACCTGGAGTACTGTGTCCAGCTCTGGGGGCCCCAGTACAGGAGAGACGTGGAGCTGTTGGAGCGAGTCCAGAGGAGGGCCACAAAGCTGATCAGAGGGCTGGAGCACCTCTCCTATGAGGACAGGCTGAGAGAGTTGGGGTTGTTCAGCCTGGAGAAGAGAAGGCTCCAGGGAGATCTAATTGCAGCTTACCAGTACCTGAAGTGGCCTACAGGAAAGATGGAGAGGGACTGTTTATCAGGGAGTGTAGTGACAGGACAAGGGGTCATGGGTTTAAGCTGAAGGAGGGTCAATTTAGATTAGATGTTAGAAAGAAATTCTTTGCTGTGAGGGTGGTGAGACACTGGAACAGGTTGCCCAGAGAGGTTGTGGAGGCCCCATCCCTGGAAGTGTTCAAGGCCAGGTTGGATGGGGCTTTGGGCAGCCTGGTCTGGTGGAGGGTGTCCCTGCCCATGGCAGGGGGGTTGGAACTAGATGATCTTTGAGGTCCCTTCCAACCCAAACCATTCTATCATTCTATGATTTCTCTGTTGAGGCTGATATGACCAGACAGGCTTGCAGGGCTCGTGAAAACTGGCACATTTCTGAATGCAATTGTTCTGTTGTCTGCGATTTGACATCTTCAGTTTTCTACCTTTTTATTCACCAAGCCATGACATCGCCTTGTTCTTCGGGAAGAAGTCTCTCTTTCAATTCTTTCAATGCTAGATCAAAAGGAACCGTTTGGGGTGAAACGTTCATTCTGCCTGCTCTGGGCCCATACATGCTGCATCAATTTTTCAGCTTCTTTCAGGGTTGTTTTTTTTTCCTCCCCTCTGCTTTTTCAAAAAAAAAAAAAAAAAAAAGGTTTTGAAGGCAGGAAGGAACTTTGACAGAGTCAAGATGTGCATTTAGATGTCATCAACTGCATCTTTTTTTGCAGGATATTTATGCATTAGTCTACAGTTGCTCAGCATTGGTAGATAAGTAATCTTGGGTCTTGAAGGATCTAGAGAAACAGGTTTTCCAGACCTGAAGATCAGCCTTTGAGATGACCACAAATTGCTTTTATCCGAATATTATTTTTAGCAGTCAGTGCTTCCTTTTTACATTAGAAGATAATGGTGCTAATTTTTTTTCACGTGTTCCAGTCACTCATTTCCTATCAACTTCAGGTGTGTTGGATCACGTCCACATGCATGCTGATGCTCAGCCATGGCCAAATACTAGGCACAATGACCCAACCAGTGGTGGATGTAATACTGCAGAGACTGAGGGCAGCAAGGGGGACCAAGGAGAACAAGGCAAGCACAGCCGGCACGCTGAGCAAGGGCTTTACTTCACCCAATGCTGTGACTGCTTCCATGGGGTGTGCGGGCTGTCGGAAACTGCTCTGGTGATGTTCCCTCACATCTCTTGTTTAATAGTCAAATGACAGTCAATTCCACTTACAGCTGGCATCACTCTTCCTGGCTTCTCTTTTCCCTCGATGATGTTCAGGTGAACAGGAGTACAAGAAAGTGTTAAAAAAAAAAAACCCAAAACAACCCCAAAAAACGCCACAAGTCTCTGCCCTCAAGAGACCCTTGCATTTTAAGGACATGCTTTCTTACCCGTGTTGCTGTATGTCTCCTTGACCATCGCCCAACCTCACCCTGAGGGGCAATGACACCCCCCCGCCCCGCAGCACTGGTCCCCCTTGGATGCTCTCCAGGCCATGGAGCACCGTTCCTGCCAGCCCTCAGGAGAAGCAGGATCTGGGCTGGAAATGCCTTTTGCCTTTCGGCAACAACCACACTGGTGCTTGCTTTGTTGCATACTAATAAGCGCTAATTGGCCTCTGCTTGTTATCAAGGTTGTGCAGGAGCCATTTGCTGAATAGTGGGTTGGGGGTTGGAGAGACCCCAAGGGGCTCCTGCCCTCTGCTGAGGGGTGGCTTCCCGGGGTGGGGACAGAGGCTGAACTGATGCTCCTTGTGAAAACATCTCCGTTTGTGAGCCACGGGAGGGTCGTGCCTGCTGGCCTCGTGCCAGCCTTGGTAGCGGTCCACCTGGCAGGTGGGCTCCCCCTCTGACATGGCAGGAGGTTGCGGGGAGTTACAGGGAGACCCCTTGTCCATAAACACAGCTGGGGAGGAGCTGAGCTCTTTGGGAGGCTGGGCAGCGCTCGCCTCACAGGTGGTCTCAGCGTCAAAGCTTCAGTGCCCCTCTCCTACCCCCATGCCTGGGCACTGCGTGCGGCCCCTCCACGCGCTCTCGCGCTTACCA